GGAAGAGTAGCACCCATCGGGGTTCTGGAGCTGGACTTCCCAGGTGGAGATCCTGGCTTCTGCACTCATAGCTATGTGACCTTGGACAAATTTCTTGCCTTCTTTTTGCCTCTGTTTCTTTATCTGTAAAAGGAGAGCATAATGGTACCTTCTTGTAGAGTTATTGTGAAGATTAAAATAAATTCATGTGCATCGTTTAGAATAGTGTCTCTCACATGATACGTACTCAGTAAGGCTGCTGTAGTAATCATTGTAAGTGCTTATTAGTTGTTATTATTACTAAAGGAACTACAGGTGGTGTGCCAGTGTGCCTGGCAGGTGGAGGAGTGATTAGGGATGAATCTGAAGTGGGGGGGGGGGTAAGAAGGCTTCAGGAGTTGGTGCCAGCCTCACGAGTTTAAGACTTTATCCCCCAGGTAACGGGAAAGTGGTGGGAAGGGTTTTTCTAAAATAACTTTTTGTTACAAAAAAATTTCAAAATACAGAAAAGTTGAAATAACAGCACAATGCCCACCCTTATTCCTGCCATCTAAACACAATCTGAACATTTCAGCACATTTGCTTTATCTTTCTCACCCTATCTTTTCTCTTTTTGCATTGCCTTTTGTGGAACGATGTGAAAGGAAGTTGCGGACATGATGACACATCACCTCTAAACACTTCCTTCCACTTGCATCTCCCAAGAATGAGGACATTCTCCCACACAACACATTGTTGTTCTGCCTAAGAAAATTAATAATTGATAATAATTCACAATATCCTGTCACATCCAGCTGTGGGAAGATTTTAAGTGGGGCGTTAGACAAGGCATTGTAGCTGCCATGTGGAGGCTGGCTGGAAGGGGGCCGAGGGCAGGTAAATATCCCCCCAGTAATGCAGGTAACAGATGCTGAAGCCCGACCTAGAGTGATATGGGGACACGAGGGCTGTTTGAGGTACCTGCAGGTCTCCCATTGAACATGGTGGCAGGGACGGTGGGTCAGTGAAGTCTTCCAGGAGGAGGTGCCAGACCTAACAGCTGAGTGTTGTAGGATCAGGAGACCTGCAGGAAGCAGAGTGTGGGCAAGAGTGGGAAGATTCATTTGACACATGAATATTAAACATCTACTGTCATGATTCCGTTTATATGTCACCTTGGCCATGGGTTGCCCAGAGATTTGGCTAAACGTTATTCTGGGTGTGTCTGTGAGGGTGTTTTTGGATGAGATTAACATTTATTTATTTATTTTTTCAAGGGGGGGAGAGAGAGTTGGTGGGGGGGAGGCGATGAGGGAGAGGGAGGCTTTTAAGCAGACTCAGCACTGAGCGCAGAGTCCAACCCAGGGCTCGTTCTCACGACCTGAGATGATGACCTGAGCCAAAGCCAAGAGTCCGATGCTTAACCGACTGTGCCGCCCAGGTGCCCCTGGATGAGATTAACATTTAAATCGGGAGACTGAGTGAAGCAGATTGCCCTCCTTAATATGGGTGGGCCTCATCCAAGCACTTGAAGTCCTGAATAGAACAGACTGACCCTCCCCCCCGAGTGAGAGAGGATTCTCCTGGCTGATGGCCTTCGGCCTGGGACATTGGCTCTTCCTGGTTTGACATTGACTCAAACTGGGACGTTTGCTCTGTGAGATTTCAAACTTGCCAGCCTCAATAATCACGTGAGCCAATTCCTTATAAATAGTGTACATATATGAATATAACATATATATATTCTCTCTGTATATTCTATTGGTTCTGTGTCTCCGGGGAACCCTAATGCATCTACTATATGCTAAGCATTCTGTCATGGTGCAGAGACCATGACCCGCGAACATGACACAGGCTTTCATGGAGTGCGCCACTCAGAGCTCAGTTTGCCTGGACTCTGTGGTGAGTGGTGGGAGATGGGATGAAGGGTGGGCAGGGGCCTTGGAGGAAGGAGTATGGATTTTGTTCCATAGGCCAGTGCTTTCCAAACGCCAGTACCACTTTCGTGATTTTTGTCATATTCACATCTCAGCTGCATTCTTCTTCGCTTGATACATTTAAAAATACCAGTTTTACACCCATTCCTTTTTAAAACTGTTTAAGCCACAATACCTATAAAATTACGGGATTTTTTTTCTTTACACATGAAAATAAATATAAAATCATTACGATAAAAAGATGTTGGCCCATATACTGCTTCAAATAATTTCACAGTTTTCCTACATTTGGGGAAATTTGTCATGAGTGACAGGGGTGGGGTGGGATATCAGATCTGGGGTTTTAGGCAGGAACATGCCATGCTGAGATTAGGTTTTGGAAAGATTCACTGGCTGTTGAGTGGTGAATAGGTTGGAAGATAGGGAGACATGCTCGGAATTCTGGCCGTTGTCCAGGGGAGCTCTGATAAGAGCCTGAAGCAAGGATGTGCAGTGGGAATAGGAGGGGACAGATGTGAGGGGGCATTCAGAGGTAGAATTTGATAGGATTTAGAGACAGTGGCGTGGGATTGAGGCAGGAAGAGGAGCCTGGGTTGGCTCAGTGATGGTTTTGGTTTGGTTGCCTGAGAAGACAGAGGTGCCTTCACCGAGGCAGGGAGCCCAGGAGAGGCTAAGGTCAAGTGCAAAGAGCAGGATATACCAAGCAATGGTTAGGGGCTGCAGAATTTGACTACAGTTTTAGCAATGATACTGTGAAGTTCATTGCCCCTTGATAGCAAACCCACACTTTAAATTAAATTAAAACATTTTTAGTTTAACTCTTCTGAGTGGACCCACACATGTATTTTCTGCTACTTATTACTGAGAATGACTAAGTATTATAATTGAGCTGAAAATAATCTCCCACCCATGCTTGCTGGGTTGGTTTCTAAGTATTGCTTGGGTTTTTATCTACTGAAACAAAGTTGTGCTCTTTCCAAATGTTAATTCTGAAGACTGCAGATGGTAACCATCTGTTACACGACTAGCATTTTACAATATTTGATTAGCACTTTATATAGTTTGGGGAAGCCTGCCAGTGGATCCTGCCCATCAGGTGGGGACTTCGGCGGTATGTCCGCTGTGGTGGCCCTTGAAGGTCTTTGCCCCCATTGTATGGGGTTCCCCTGTTTTTTGGGGGGCTTTAGCACAGCTAGTCAGACTGGCAGGTTGATAATTCACGGCAGGAGAACCATAGGGGCCTTGCCCTGTTTGCACTCTTTCTTAGAGCTGGAACCATCGGACCTCATCGTGGAAGCAGAATTTGGGAGGTCGAGATCTGTCCATCAGTTAGGACTCTGGGTTGCAAGTGACAAACCCAAACCCCTTTTGCTTTGGCAAAGGGCATTAATTGAATCAGGTCATTAAAAAGTCTAGAGGTGGGACTGCCTTCAGGTGGATGGTTGTAGGATTCAAACGAATTCTTCAGACTTGGTTCCTCCCACACTTTCAGCTCTGCCTGCTGCTGTGTGGCTTCAGGCTCAGGCTTCCAGAGAAAGCAAGATGGCGCCCTTGAGAGAGGAGCAAATCCCCTCAGCAGCAAGTCTAGAGGGAAAGAACGGAGGCTTTCCCGGTCACCTCTGCAGAGGTGGTAGGATGTGTTCTGATTGGGCTAACTTCCATCACATGCCCATCTGTGGCCCAATCCCTGCGACCACGTGGATGCAGTGCTCTGATTGGTCAGACCTGGCGTGGAGCCCCACCCTGACCTGTGGGCGGAGGCCTGGGGAGAGGCGGATCGCCAGTCACGCATCCGGGACCGTTAGCGGAAGGGAGGAGGGTCGGGGGGCAGACCGCCACCTGCCTGCCCTGGTGTCATGGCCGGAGCCCAGAGTACCAGGAGGCTTTGGCAAACTTAGCGGTGGAGACAGGCGGTTATTGTTGCCAGGAAGATAATATGCTGGGAATGGAATGAAGGAGCCTCTGAAACGGGCTACTTAATGAATTTCTTTTCTTAGTTTAAGAACCTCTGATAGATTTAGTATTCTGGGTCTCTTTTTTTTTGAGGGGGAGGGAGTGTCTTTCTTCTTTTTATGTTACTTTAAAACTAAGGCCAAGCACAATCTTGGTCTTTTAGCTCCTTCGTTTGGAACATTGTGAGCTTCTCTTTCAGAGAGGGGAGATCTGTACAGAGCAGATAACAGATTCCATTCAGTCCAGTTCAACAAACAGGGCACGAAGCCCCGGGGCCTGGGCCAGCCTCCACAGGCCTGGCAGCAGATGAATCCTCAGCAGTGTGGGAAGCACTGTAACAGCTCCAAAACAGGGCACTGCAGCCCCTCAGGCCGGGACAGTCAGGAAGGGCTTCCCAGAGGAAGTGACACGGAGCTGGACCTGGAGGGATGACCATGAGTTCCTCCCATGGCAGAGAAGAGGAGGAGAGCTTGATGCTGAAGGGGCTGCTTGTGCCAAGGGACCAAGAGGTGAGGTACTTGCTGGTTTGGGGGATGAGCCTAGGCCACTGGTTCCAGAGTGCATTCTGGCGTCAGCCTGGAGGAGTCTGCAGAGTGACAGGCTGAAGGTGGGGGCAGACAGCAGGCAAGATGCTGTGGTAGAGGTCCAGGCATGAGCCTTTGGGGCATCTGGTTAAAACGTATTCTGTTCTCTAGCAGGTCTGGGGCGAGAGAGTCTGTTTCTAACCAGCTCTCAGGTGACTACTGGTTGGTGCTACTGGTCCAAGACGGTACTTTGAGTGGCGAGGCTCAGACGTCTGGCCATTCTCCCCTCTGTTGCCTGTAGTCAGCTGTGCAGGGTCTTCCTGCTTATCTCCCCTACTCTGCCTGTCCGTGACACCTCCTCACCCACCACCGCAAGTTGGCTTCCAGAAAGAAGGCACCCGGATGTGGCTGTGCGATCTCGCCTTTGGTCCCGGCAGGCCTGCCCTGGGCTGAGACTTCTGCAGGACAGGATGCTCCGCCCGAGTTCAGGGTCTGGGTTCTGTGCAGTGTGGCACGAAGGGGACCCAGCCTCCACGGTGTATCAGACCTGCTCACAGAGCCGTGGGACATGGGGCTCGGGGCCGAGGCTTGGCTTGATGCCTTAGAAGTCATGCTCTGTGTTTTCCAGGGACAGAGGGTCTTGCAGATGGCCCCGCTCCCAGGGGCAGAGCTGGTCCAGACGCCGCTGCAGCTCTACCGATACCTGCTGCGCTGTTGCCGGCAGCTGCCAGCCAAGGGCATCCAGGAGCATTACAAACATGCTGTCAGGCAGGTGGGCACAGTGGTGCTGGGCTCGGGATGGGGGGTTCCCACGATAGAGGGCTTGCCTCAGGGTTGGGGGCAGGGGACAGGGATGGTCTTTCGGGTGGTGGTGGAGGGGAGGGGCGGCAGTCTGGTAAGAGCCACCAAAAACCACCACCCAGCTCCTCTCTCTGATTTCTGCTCGGAAAACAGATGTATCATCCAGCACATCAGCTCCGTGCCAGGGCTCAAATAAGGCAGCTAAATGGATAATTAAAATAGAGTATGGGCCATAACATCATTTTGACAGGCATTAATGCACAGCCTGAGTTTACTCATGAGAAAACATCAGGAAAATCCAGACAGAGGGACCATCTCCCACACCGCTGGCCTCGGCTCATCCAACATGGCAGTATCGGGAAGCACAGAGAAAGGCAGACCTGCTCTGCTTTCAAGAGGACTAAAGAGATGTGACCACGAAATGTAATGAGTGGATTGGATTCTGGACCAGAAAAAACAGTGATTAAAAGGGACATTATTGGAGACCTTCATGAAATTGGAGTATGGGCTGTAGATGAGATGATAGTATTATATTAATGTTGAATTTCCTGAATTTGACTACTGTCGTTATGTAATCTCCTCATTAAAACACCCTGAAGCATTTAGGGGTCAAGGGTAACTTCTAATTGCTCCCAGAAAACTGAGTACAAACCCATATAAAGAGAGAATGATAAAGCAAATGTGAGATGTTCACCATTGGTGATTCTGGTAGGGAATTTGTTTATATTCTTGCAGCTTTTCTGTAGGTTAGAAATTATTTCCAAAAAAATAAATACAAATGTAACGTGGAAAGTAAAAAAATAAAGGTAGCGACAGACAGGCTGTGAAAACATGGAGGAGGGAGCAGCTAGCTGCCTGAGGGCATCAGGGATGACTTCCCAGAGTGAGCATTTGAGGTGCTCCTGAAGACAAATAGGAGGACCTGCGGGGTCAAGAGTGACTGGGCAGGGGAGGTACCAGGTACCCTTCTGGAGGGCCCTGAGTGCCACACCAGTGAACCCGAATCTCACGTTCCTTCTCAAGGGTGAACATCTGGTCAGAGGCAAACAACAGCCCCACGTTGCTCTGCACCGGGCCTGGCTGGAGTCTCCAGTCACCCCCTCCACGGCCCCCACTCTGCTTGGCCTTCCAGCATGGGCCCGGAAAGGCCCTGTTCCTTCCTATTGTGCAGCATGGTGCAAGTAGCTCCCTGGGGGAGCAGATGGAACCGAGAGGTGGAAGTTTCCTTGGGCCCAGCCTGATTTGGGGTAACTTGGGGGCCAGTCTTCCATCTTGTAGCTGCTCTGCTGGCAGGAGGACTGGCTGTGTAGTTAGAATGGACTGGGATTTGAATGCTGGCGCCATGCACAGTCCCAGTTAGGGCATCTGAGCCTCTGTTTCCTCATCTGTAGGTGGGATCATCCTAACTCACTCTGGAGGGCTAAGAGCCATGCTGAGTGCAAAGTGGCCACAGTGTGTCTGGCCTGTGCCTGGTGCTCTGAAGACGCTGGTCCTGTGAATTTTGCCTTGTCATCTTTCTTTTATGCTTAAACTTCCAGAGTTTCCGGGTTCATTCAGATGAAGACAATCCTGAGAGAATCCAGCAGATTATTAAAAGAGCCATTGAAGATGCAGACTGGATCATGAACAAAGTAAGTGCTTGGCTCCCGGCTCCCCCTGCCCGCTGGTGGGGTTGACAGCAGTAATCTCCATGGCCACCAGGGGTCGCCCCTGCCCTACAGTTGATCCCCATCAGGCCTGCAGAGGCACCATACAGCCCCAGCCAGCCGCTCTGGTGGTGGCAGATGCCTTTCTGGTTGCATCTGTTTTCTGCAATGGGTGGAGAGTTCTCAGTCCCTAAAGGCCAACAGTGCTGAATAAGCTGAGACGGGGTAGCAGGAAGAAGGAAGAGAAAGGTCTTCTTGGAAGCAATAGTGCCAGGACTAGCAGCAGCCTTGTGATGCCTCAGACGGGAAAGCTGTGTTGGGGCATAGTGAGCTCCCCGTCTCCAGGGGTATTCATACTGAGGCAGGGTTATTGAGGAAACATTCAAGTATCTATTTTGGTAGAGGAAGGGCGGGAGTCAGGAAGACAGACTGACTTGCTGGTCCTTACCCACTGGTGTTAGAACAACCTAGAGAGCTGGGTGGAGCATGCCCCCCCGCCCCATCCTTCTAAATCAGAATCTCCAAATGTGGGGGTCGGGGTTCGTTTTTAAAAACTCCGTGATTGGACTAGATGACCTCTGAGGGTCTTCCTCTATCTGAGATTTTTTTTTTCCTTTGAACCAAGATTCAGCTTAAAGAACAGGATGGGCATGCCCCACGTTCCTTTCTGACATTCCCGCGTCTGTCTTATGTGTGCCCTCCTAGCCTGTCAGCTGCCTTTTCTGTTAAGAAAGGGGGTCCCGGTGCCAGCTAGAGATTTGACTGGTGCCTGCCCCCCGCCCCACCTCTAAGGAGCCCCTGCAGGAGGCAGCTAAAGCCCAGAAGAACATGGTTCTTGGGATTTCCTGGGTCTTCCCTCCCCCATTGGCTTCCCTCACCCACTTCTAATGATCTCTCTGCCTTACAGTATAAGAAACAAAACTGAGATGCTGGAGCCTAGAGAACCAAGCTGTCCTGAAGATATTGAAGTTGAGAGACCTCGCTTCTCCTGGAAGTCAGCAGCGGCAGCCGTTTTGGAATATCCATCAGCCTTACTGGCTGAGAGCAGGAAATCAGGGGTAGGAGAAGCTGACGTCTGCTCAGCTGGCTCTTCTTGCCACGTTTGTGTCCCAGCATCCTTTATGTTTGCTTTTCTGGCCATTGCCACGGGAGTTTGGGGGAGAATATATTTTGTCACTTTGGTCCGAAGGTGCTGCATGTATTCTGGATGTTGTCCTTTGAGACCCAGAGTGGGCATCCCCTCGGGCTGTCCCGGGAGGACAGGGCATGGGTTTTCGAACCAGTCAGGTCTGGATTTGAATCTCAGTTCTGCGGCTTTTCAAGGGTGTTGCTTTTGAGCTCAGCCTCCTCCTGTGTGAAGATTTAAGTATAAGGAAGTTGAAGAGCTTCAGGTAGGACATGGTATGTGGTGGTGTGAGTAAATGTTCCCCTGAGGAGGCCATCCTCCACCGCTCCTTCCTCCCCGCCTGCAGTGCTCCACGTCTCTCTGGCACACTCCTCGTCGGGCCCGGGGGATGTGTGGGCCTGCCCTGTCCTGCTTGTTGTCCCTGAACGCTCAGGGCCCCACCGTGACCAGCAGTCCCCCAAGCAGCCGCTGCTCCCAGCACTGTCCTTCCGTGAAGTCCTGGTCCTCGCCTTCACGGAGTTTCTAGTGTCCCTGAAGTGGTGAAATGCACGCCGCATGGAACAAGGAAGAAGGGCAGACCAGCTACAGCGGATGCCGAAGTGTACAGGCCTCTGTGAAGCTGCGATCTGTCCTGCTGGCCCTTCCCTGCTTTGTCACTGTCTTGGGAGGAAGAATGGAGGCAGGGCGTCAAGGAGGGAGGTGGGGAGCAAGCATTCCTGTGGGGTATGGGGAGCCTGAAACCCGTGGAGAAAGACTGGGTCACATCCCAATGCCATAGAAGTTGCTCGTAGGGGAACTTACCTGGCCCATTTCAGCCTTGGTTTCCCCAACTCCAGTGCAGTGATGCCCCCACCTGCCTGCCGGGGCTGCAACGAGGAGTACTGAGCTCTAACGCATGCCAGGTGCTTCTTGCAGAAGCTGGCTCAGGGAGCCAGCTGCACTGCCGTGGCTGGTCACCACAGTTAGGGAGCCCTGCTTTGCAGACGGGGAGATGGAAGCACAGACAGGTCGAACCCCTTTTCAAGGTCACCAAGCTACTAAGCGAGGTCTGTGTGAATCTACCAAACAGTACAGGGAAGGGAGAGCAGCAGAGGGAGGGAAAGCGTCCAGGAAGGACTCGGGGGGCTGGCCAGAGCAGGAGGGGCAGCCAGAAGAGGGGAAGCCACACTGGACTTGCGTATCCCCAAGGACTCTCAGCCAGAGGGATGAGCCAGCAGCTTCATGACCCTGCAATGAATTTTAGGACTTAAAGTGACTCCGGGACATTTGTATGGACTGATCAGCAGGTAGTGAAGTAAATACCGATTTCTGAAAGCTTGGGTGTCTTGAGTGCTGTGCTCATTCATTCCCCAAACACATGCTGTTCCCCACTGTGTGCTATCATCCTAGGTATTGGGGACTTAGGGACAGGCCTGTACAATAGGGATTGTTCTTCGGAGGGGAGGTGTCTCTTTTGTTTAGATTTTTCTTGTTTTCTAATAATGGGGGAGGCTGGTATGTGGTGATTTTTTCTTGGCCAAGTATTGGTTGTGTGTGTGGGGGGCGTGGGGGTCTTCTCCTTATCACTGATGCTCAGGGGCTGATGTGGAGGGGGGAACACTCACTCTGACTGCATGATGGGCAGGCCTGGGTGGCTCCCACAAGAAGTTTGTCTTGAGGCAGAGAAAAGACTCCCCCCCCCAAGCACAGATTGTCAAGAATGAAGACCCAAACTTCCTCCCAACTTCCTGAAATGAACCTGTCCCTCTGTCCATCTTGCTTCCCTGGGGGATGGGGATTAACATGAGCATCAAGGGCAAAGAAAACCAAACTACCTTTGTTGAATGACAGAGCCAAACTTGGCAGGTTCAATGTGAGGGAATGACCTTGGTTTTTTTGGGTTTTTTTTTTAAAGATTTTATTTATTTGAGAGAGAGAAAGAGAGAGTACAAGCGGGGTGAGTGGCAGAGGGAGAGGGAGAAGCAGGCTCCCCACTGAGCAGGGAGCCCTATGCAGGGTTCAATCCCAGGGCCCTGGGATCATGATCTGAGCCAAAGGCAGACGCTTAACTGACTAAGCCACCCAGGCGCCCCAGCAATGACCTTGTTAACAATGGGATGGGTGATTGTAGTTCAAGGGAAACACCAGAAGTTCAAGTACCGTGCCTTAAGAGATTAAGAGCTACCTCTACCTCCACCTCCTAAATGCTATTGCCTGCTGCCAATACCATGGAGTCACACATCTCTGGAGACAGAGAATCTCTTCCCACCAGCATCTGGAGAGGTACCTCATTCTCTTTGAGCTTTGAGCAATGAGTGCACAAGACGAGCTTCATCAGACTTCTGAAGCTGACTACAGTTCATAACCTTGAGATTGGTTGAGCCCATCAGCCTCTATGCTTGTCAATTTCAGCCACTAACCGAAAGCAGGCTCCTCTAATCAGCAGTCTCACGTACTCCGATTGCCAAACTGATGTGGGTTTCTTACATCGCTGACCTCACTCCCGCCCTGTTCATGATGTCCTCCGGCACCCTTGCACCTCGCACGTAGATTCCTTACTCTCTCAGCACTCCAACCTGTTCATTCCATGTGTATTTGCCCAAGCTTCTCCTCCTGTCTGCAGTGCCCTTCTTAGCTTATTCACCTGAAAAAGATCTTTTCTCTGTCAAGACTGAGCTTGTGCATGATTTCTATGAAGATGTTCTTTACTCCCCCTAGCATTACATCTTCCAAGATTTTTTTCATGTTAACTGGTGAATGAAAACCAATCAGATGACACTGGTTCTTTGGAAAAATGAATGCAATCTTTAGGCCAAATTAAGAAAGACATGGGATCAAGAAGAAGGGAGGTGAAATCTAGAGCAGTGATTTTCAGGTGTGGTCCATGGCCTTCTGGGACTCTCCCAAGCCCTCTCATGGGATCCTCAAAGTCAAAAGTATGTTCATAATAACCCTAAGACTTTTTCTTTCCCACTCTGTGAACATGTGCACTGATGGTACAAAAGCAATGATGAGTAAAACTGCTGCTGGTGCCTAAGCATGAATCAGTATAGGGATTATCACCACCAGCTTACTCATGAATGTCCCTGATGAAACAGCAAAATGCTTAATTTTGTTAAATCTCAGTCCTTGAGTATAAAAATATTTTGTGCAATGAGCTGAAAAGCACACATAAAGCACTTGTATTGCACACATAAGTAGAACATTTGTCTGGAGGACAAGCACACAATTATTTGAGGTGTGAGATAAATAAACTGCGTTATTCAGAGAATACCATTTTTTTGTTACTGAAATAGTGACTGGCAAACTGGTTGGATCTGTCCTCTATCATGTTAATCATCCTTCAGAGTTTCATTTCCTCTGTAGTGTTGCCATTCATTCATGTATTCACCAATTCATTAATTCAACAGACACTGAGCACTCTTAGGTATCAAAAATTCCATCTATGTCTCCATCTAGGTGAGATTATGGGTGGTTTAATTTGCTCCCCCTACTGATCTGCATGGTTTCTGGAAATGTGTGGAGAGATTTAGTTTTAGGCACCCATGATGACCCCTAGGAATCTAGAAGTCTCTTTCAAAAAGTTTTTTTCCCTAAAATTTTCCTATTTATAGACATTAGCCCGCATTTATACACACATACATAACATTTGTTGCTAACAAGTCTGGCTGGAAAATGGTGAATTACTTTGAAAACATGTTTTTTTCTGACATTGTCACCTTCCTATTACCATAAATCTTTAAAATTCTCGAACTGAAGAGATAAGAGGAATTGTCCAAGGGGTCAGCTTGCTAGGTCAGCTTCAGCTTCCAGCCCCCAGGCGTGGAGGTAAACGAACATTCTCATCCTTTTCTTTATCTTGGCTCTGGTGTTGATTTCATTGCTCTCTCTCTCTGGCTCAGGATGCTATATTTTTCCCTTGCATACTTGGGTATGTCAGAAACCTCTGCTTGAGGAACTTGCAACCCTTAGACGCTGCTGGTGGGAATGTAAAGTGGTACAGCTGCTTTGGAAAACAGTTTGGAAGTTTCTCAAAATGTTAAACGTGGAGTTACCATATGACCCAGCAATTCTATACACAAATCTGTGTATATGCCCAAGGGGAATGACGTACGTTCACAGAAAAAATTTGTACACAAATGTTCATGGCTTTATTTATAAAAGCCCCCCCAAAAAGCAAACAACCTAATGTCCATCAACGGATGAACAGATGAATAAAATGTAGCATAGTCATACAGTAGAATATTATTTGGTAATAAAAAAACATGTAAACCCTGCAAAATGGATGAACCCTGAAAACACAATGCACTTAGTAAGAAGCTAGTCACAAAAGATAAGGATATAATGTACGATTCCATTTATACAAAATATCCGTAATAGGAGAATCTATGGAGACAGGAAGTAGATTAGCCCAGGGCTGAGAGAGGGGCAGATGTTGGCTGGAATGGGAGTGATTGTTAATTGGTACAGGGTTTCTTCTTGGAATGATAAAAACAGTTTAAAATTAGATTGGGGTGATGGCTGTACAACTCTGTGAATACATTAAAAATGACTGAATTGAGGGCGCCTGGGTGGATCAGTTGGTTAAATGTGCGACTCTTGGTTTCAGCTCAGGTCTTGATCTCGGTTGTGAGTTCAAGCCCCGTGTTGGGCTCCACTCTGGGTGTGGAGCTTACTTAAAAACAAACCACTGAATTGTACAGATTAAATATGTGAATTGTATGGTATGTGAATTATATCTCAATAAAACTGCCAAGAAGAAATCAAATTCCAGGAGAAAACCAAACAAATCTCAATGTGTCTGGAAGATACCACTTAAAATTCCTAGAAAAATTCTCGCCTTCTCGATTAGTCTCAGTTGAAAGGAACAATCGTCTTTTCCCTTCAGTGGTGTCTGAAGTTGAATTTTTCTACTGGGCTTCTCCTGATGCCTTCTTCACCCCCCTGCCCTCAGCTTGTAATCCTGTGGGGATGGTTCTCAGCTTTTCTTCAGCAAACTAAGCCAAGAGAGGCTAAGACATTTGTCCAAGGTCACATCTCAAGAACATACATGTCCCAAGTGAAGTCCTTTCTAGAGGT